CCCGCCTCTCGTTTTACATCTGAAAATAGATTGCAAAATTTGGAGCCAGCAAATGTATCAGGTTGACAGGAAGGGATGGATGCCCCCAGGGGACCACGATAGACAGTGCCAAGAGCAGGGTCAGCAGGCCAGCCGCGACTAGAGAGGGCCAGGCAGCCCTGTGTGGGCAACCCCCACAGAGGCTCTGTCATGGTGGGTGATGCCCCATCAGGTCAGGACCCACGGGGGCTGGCGGTACCCGTGCCTAACACAGAACCCCCAGCTGGCATGGTCTCTGGATCAGGAGAGGGTCTGCAGCAGTAACCAGCTGGCTGTTGGAAAGGGCTAGCTGGAGCCACTCAGGTCCCCCCGGCCTCCCTTTCTGAGCACCTCTGCTCTTCTGCTGGAGTACTGTGTTTAGCACAATACTCAATTCTAATAAAAAATTAGCCCTTAAGAAAGGTCTGAACCACATTAAAATGAATGTGAAAAGGACGGACACCTTTAAGGACAGTGAAGCTGCTTTCTGGAAAGAAGTGGGTTTTTAATGGCGGGGCCTCAGGCATTGCCAGCAGGTGAAGGAGGCAATGCAGGGTTCTTTGACCTCAGCCCCACCCAGGCCTTGGTTTACCCTCCAGGATCTTACACATCTCTCAGGAGATGCCTGTTTGCCATGCCATTCAGAGCCTCAGCACCTCTCCTGCTGCCCCAGGAGGGCATTGTTGGCACCCGGCAGGCTTCTGGAGTCAGGGAGAGCACTGGGCGGTACTGGCCATATGGGCTCTGACACCCAGAAGCCTCAAGGGCCTTTTAATTCACTTCGCATCGATCAACCATCCCTGGGGCATACAGCACAGTGCTGGGCACTGTGGGAAGCTGGTCCTGGACCAGGCCACAGAAAAGCTGCTGCGCACCGTCACTGCCAGAACGGTGCCTGTCCAGGACTGAGGAAGCTGTGGCACTGCCCCAAGTCTGGGAGGAAAGTTTGACAGCCACTTTGCTCACACCAGTCAAGGACAAGGGCAGGCTTCTAGTTAAGCATTCTCTCTCCTTCATTAGCAACTTCTGGCTCTCCAAGATTTGGAGGAGGCCTCCCACTTGAGAGCCTCCAGACCCCCTCCTAATACAGAATTCTGTTTTGCCCCAGCTCTTTTGCTCAGAACCACCTGGGATAGGTTAGCTACTGGGCAAAGCCGGAAGCTGCTTTCAAAAGGACAAGCATGTAAGAGATGCCATTTGTGGGATTGGTCCAGGGAGGGAAGAGACCTGGACATGGAAAGAGGAAGGATTTTCTAGGAGAGGAAGTGAGAGTCAAGGGTGGCCCTGAGAATTCGTCTACAGGGAGAATAAGCTTGCAAACAGCAAAAACAGAGTAAGTAAAATGCATTTCATTTTATCACAAAGCAGTGCTCCCAACCTCTTCCGTAACATGGCACACCCCGAGGGTGGAGAATTGACATTTAGGCACAACCGGGACCCTAATGAGCAAGGTCTAGGGCAGAGATCCAGGGCAAGGTCTTCAGAGCGGACAGAACCCGATTCAAGTCCTGTTCTGCCTCTTATCAGCTGCACAACCTGGGGCTGGCTGTCGAACTTCGCCACCTCATAGTTTTCTTCTCTGTGACAAGGGGAATAGCATGTAAAGTGGTGGGCCCAGAGCCAGGCACAACAGGCTCTCCAGAGATGCCATTCTCAGCACGGTTACCCAGGTGAGCTATTCCAGCGCGTTGGACCCACGAGGGGATAGGCTGGGAGACACGGGCAGCAAGGGACAGTGGACACGGAAGCAGAGAGCAACGCCCTCATCTGCTCAGCTTCTCTGCCTTGGACGTGGAGAGCTGAAAGACTGCTTCTATGAGGTCTCCGGTTGGGAAAACTAGGGACAAAGACACTGATTAAAAGCCTCCACCGGGAAATGAAGTAATGGAGTGCCTCCCCATCTCTGAGTGGCCATGTATCTGAGGAGGTCGTGGTCAGTGAAGTTGGGGAACACATGCCACTCCCCACCCCAAGTTCTTCCACATCTCTGATGGGTGATGGCACGGCCGGCAAGGGTACAGTGTGTCTGTGGGCAGGCTGGGTACAACAGGCTGGCTATGAGTCCGGAACAGGGTCAGGAGGGTCAGGCTGCCCGCTGGCTGGCACGACGGTGTCCCTTTCACGTTGCTGCCTGATGTACTGATCCAACAGGGCAGTCAGCTGCAGGGGCTGGTGCTGAAGCAGGAAGTGGGTCTGGGCCATGAGGCAGGTGAGTCCTCCTACCAGCTCCCCCTGCACCAGGGCCAGGCTGGGAAGCTTGGAGTAGTTGATGAAGCCCTGCCTGCTGAGGATGGTGTCGTCAATGCAGCCACCTGGAAGAACACAGGGTTAGCTGGGCTCCCCACAAACGCCTCCCCTCCTCTGAAAACAATGCTCCGACCTGATGTTCCAGTGCGCGCTCTGCCACCCTGCCTCACCTCCC